AGGAGTTTTAGGCCAACCTGGGCTATATAGTCAAACTCCATCTCAAAACACAAAAAGGGTATCAGGGATGTCTTGACACACAGTATGGTATGAATGAACTCTAAGCTAAGCAAAATGAGACAGTCAGAGAGATAACACACTGTATGGCTCCTGGCCCAGTGAGAGTCCTAAAGACAGAGAGCACTTAACACCAGGAGCTGGCCAAAGGATTGGATGAGGATTCATTTTTGTAATGGGTACAAAGTTTTAGGTTTGCAAGATGAAAAAGACTGGATGCTGCTTGTGACTGTGCCATAGCACAAATGTCCTGCACACCAGGTCAAGCCATGTAAAGGCTGAGGATGAGGGTCTCACACACAGAGGCCTAGGTTTGATGCCCCCTTCACCCTCCCACAAGCACAGCATCAGCTGATTGTGGTGGTGCACTCCTGGAATCCAGCCATCGGAGGTAGAAGCAGGAGGATCAGGAATTCAAATTCATCTTTAGCCACACTGGAAGTTTACGGTGGGACAGAGACCTGCAGAGGACTATCTCAAACAAAACAGGTAAAAATGGTTAAATGGGTAAATAGTATATTTTACGCACTTTAACTCAATTTAAAATTTATGAAATTTGTACACAAATGCATTCCTGTTTTGAAATCAAACAATACAGACAAAAGAAAATTTCACCCTGGCAACTAGTTCAGCTGGGCCGGTACGCTGTGTGCTTTACATACAGCATGTCTGACTTGCCCTATACCGCCGCCCGATGACTCAAGCCTTATAATAATTTCCATCCTAAGCATGTGGAAGTAGAACAGCCAAGAATCACAGATCCTTTCCACAGTCCCAGAGTCCAGAAGTGCCTGAGCTTTGATTTAACCCTTCAAGTGCAGACTGCTCTTCTCCAGCCTGCTCCAGAGTCAGGCTGGTACCCCAGCTTGTCTGAGACATGAAGGTGTGTCACACTCAGGTCTGACAGTAAACTAGGTCACATATGGGATGCAAAGCTAATGACACAATCCTAACGGTGGATATTTATCTTCGTGTCCAAAGGAAAGATGATTTGTCAAGGGTTTTAAAATGGTGGAATTGTTTGAACATGTTTACTTGTCTTCTGTATTCTCAACTCAAATCACAGCTCCAAGAGGAACTGTCTCCAAGTCACACTGGCTGTTTGTCTTACACTACAGACCTCGGTGTCCTTTTCCTTGTCCACATTTACTCTGTGTCATCTATTAGAGACAGCATCTTCTCCATCCCATTCATCCAGACTCTCCCATGCCTGGACCAGTCCCTGGCAGTTGGTAACTGGCTGTGTACTTTTCAGAGAACTGGGTTACAAATTACACAATTTAGGTGTCTTACATATTGTTTTAAGACCCCGGAAGCCTGAAACCAGAGTTTCTTTCTTCGATTCTTCTTTTCGTCTGCTGGCCGCCAGCATCCATCCCTTGGTTTGCAACTCCATCATTCCAGTCCCAACTTCAGTCTCTGTGGTTCCTCCTTGACCGTTTCCACTGTATCTCTATGCACAAATTTCCCGTGTGTGTGTGTGTGTGTGTGTGTGTGTGTGTGTGTAGTGTGTGGTGTGTAGTTGTGTGTGTGTGTGCATGTGTGTGGATGTATGTATATGTGTGCATGCATATACATGCGCGTGATGTGTAGTTGTTTATGTGTGTGCATGTGTGTAGTGTGCAGTTATTTGTGCGTGTATGTGTGCATATGGTTGCCTGTGCATATGTCTGTCTGTCTGTCTGTCTGTCTGTCTATGTGCCTATGGAAGCAAAAGGTTCAGTTTGGTTGTTTGCCTTCATCAATTTACATCTTTATTATTTATTTATTTTTATTTATTTATTTTGAGATAGGGTCTCACTGAGCCTCTCTGCTGGTCTAAAACTCACCATATAAACCAGGTGTGCTACCTTACCCTGCATTTTCACTGTATTTTATTTATTTGTTTTTTATTTTCTTTTTGGCAGGTTCTCTCAAAGGACCTGAAACTCATGATTTTGGCTAGGCTGGCTGAGTTCCAGGGACTCACCCATGCCTGCCCACCCCCAATGATGGGGTTACAGACACTTACTGCTTGTACCCAGCTTTTTACATAAATGTTGAAAATCTAAACTCAGGTCCTTATGTCTACACAGTGAGCACTTTACTGACTGAATCTTTTTCCCACCTCCAAAGTCCCCTTTTATTAAAAGGGCACTATTCATTGGGTTTAGAGTTCACCATATTCTGGCATGATTTTTGCCTTGATTTCATGTGTAACAGTTATTTCCAAGTAGGAGCAAGAGTTAGGACTCAGTTCTCCCTCAGCGAGAGTTAGGACTTTAGCTCCAAGGAGGCTTCAGCTCAAGTGTGACAGTAGCCAACCACCATGGAAGCTGCTGTTCTCTGCAGAACAGGTGTTTGACGTGCTGATCTCTCAAATGAGTGCAGGCACAAGCCCTGGAAGTCATGCTTCTCCCTGGAGTGTGCTGCAGTCCATCCCTAGAAAGCCTTCATGAGACATTGTAACTAGACCCTGGCCAGGAGAAGTAATAGAAGCCACATTCTCAGCAGGAACCTGACCTCAGGTGTGTGTGTGGGGGGGAGTTGAAAATAAGATTTTAGATGCCATATTCTCAATAATCTCTTATAGTTAACTTAGGGAGCAATTTGTTGTTATAAACAGGGTTTAGTAGAATGGAAAATATCTAGTAACATTCTTACCTCTAATGTACATTATGGAAGACTAAGGAGGAGGCCATTTTGCAGAGAGGAACCTGAAAGTTTTGATGCTGAATGAACTTGGTGTGTCCAGAAAGAGAGAGAACATTCCAGCTAAGGCAGTAAAGTCCCTAAGGATGTCCACGGGTCTCACATTGGGCATCTGCCTCGTTGAGTGTCCATTGCACTCACAAACAAATGCTTTCTTTGTAATAGCAAACCTCTCGTGTTCATCTTCCACACTCTGTAAAAATGCGCTGAGCCAGGTGGTAAGGAGATGTGGGTCTGGTGAACACGAAAGGCAAAGGGATGATGAATGCAGTTCATCCTCTCTCCAGGGAGTTTGGCAGTCTCACCAGGACCTGTTCCTGCAGTTCTGGACACTGGTGGGAAGGCCCAGCACTCTACAAGGGAGAGGGGCAGAGCGCTGACAGGTAACATCTCCATCTGTGTGTCCTCACATTGCTGGAGACAGCTCTGAATCCTTGACACATAGCCTCATGTTAGCTTCTGTTGAGCTAACATGATCAAGAGAGAAGTGTCCTTTTTTGTTTTGTTTTGGTTTTGGTTTTGGTTTTGGTTTGGTTTGGTTTGTTTTTCGAGACAGGGTTTCTCTGTATAGCCCTGGCTGTCCTGGAACTCACTCTGTAGACCAGGCTGGCCTTGAATTCAGAAATCCACCTGCCTCTGCCTCTCAAGTACTGGGATTAAAGGTGTCTGCCACCAACGCCTGGCTGAGAGAAGTGTCTTGAGGAATGGGTTCCATAGTAAATAATTGGAGAAACACTGGGTTAAATTGTGTTTACCAGCTTTTGTTTCTAGGACTTTTCAGAAACTTTGTATAAGATTTGAATGCAGCTGACTCTTCAAAGGTATGGGAAGGAGCAGCTTTGTGATTATTATCCCAGGATTCCTTGAGAACAAGAAGGTCAGGAGCAGACAAGGAAGATTCAGGTATTCTGACCTCCAGGAACATACCCAATATTGTAAAACCTTACTCTGACAAATAAGTTTTTAGAGATTTATTCTTAATTTAAAAATATGTATGTATGTGGTACACAAGACCATTCCTTGGAGCTGGAGTTGTACGAATGTGGAGAGCCTGTCGTAGGTGCTGTGACCTGAATTAGTGTCCTCTGCTTGAGCAGTAAGTGCTCTAACCGAGGAGCTGTCTCTCCAGCCCCTTGCAGCAAGTAATTTTATCCAGAGGAGATAAGGAAGAGAAGGGAAGAGGAGAAGGGTTCGAGAAAAAGAACACACTCATTCTTTGATTGTTCATGGGCTGTGGAGAGTGAAATTACTCCAAACCAAGCCTGTTCTCTTGACTCTGTCTCACCATCCGGCCATTGCTGTGATCTCCTGTATAGGCGCCTACAATATGTGCCATCCGCAAGGTGAGTCACTGTCTGAATTTACGGAGCCATGCTCCTCTTGGTCTGATTATTCGGTCTGGGATACACGAAAGCAGAAGGCTCAAAGATTTCCAAGCACCTCAAGGCTGGCTTCCCCTTTCTTTTTCCATTCACGGGTCGCTTGCCCTCTCTGGGTGCACGAAGAGAGAGCAAATGACTATGAGTGAAGATGGCCAGGCTCCTGGAAGCCCTCAGTCCAGGAATGGCACTGACCGACTCGGCTGCTGAGAGGGTTTTTTTTTTTCATGATGCTGAGGATGAGGGATACAGAAGGGCCCTGAAGCTCACTTTGGCTGTGCTGGACGCTGGGTCCAGATGGCTTAAGTAACAAATAGCTTAAAAAGAGAGAAGAGCAAGGCTCTAAGAACCAACTGGGAGTGGTTCAGGACTCAGGGTCGGGTCCACCCTGGTGCTGACCTGGTTTGTGAAGGGCCTAGAACATCCCTCAAAAAGTCCAGATGACACTGTGTATAAGGAACAGGTTTTGGATGATGCTTATCATTGTTGAGTCCATGTGAAGAGTAATGCTTAGCTCACCCCAAAAGACAACTGCACCCCCTTCTGTTGACATATATGCCAGATAATGGGATCCCAGGATTCCCTCAAGGCCTCATCGGGCTGACCCCGCCCCCTTTCCACCTGGGCCCGCCCCTGGTGGCGGAGACTTCCGGATTTCCCTGCCGGCCAGAGCTCCACCCCTCTGGCCTTATTCCCAGACTCTGCAGTCCGGGGCTGGTAGAACCCGAGCTCAGAGCTCGGAGAGGCTGGCGGAGCAGGAGCAGCGCGGCTGCGGAGTCCTCGTGCCTTGAGGACAGATGTGCGCAGGCACAGGGAGTGCTCCAACCTGAGCTGGGGTGAAGCTTCTGGAGAGGACAAGACGGCGACAGCGAGATGCAGCCGGAGGAGCCCTGCCCCCGGAGCGCGCCCCGCGGTCCCGACGTCCCGGAGAGAGGCCAGCGCTCGCGGGACCCCGAACTGCGCCTGTCGGGCCAGTTACTGCCCGAGCTCTACAGCTTCGTGGCGCGCGTCCTCTTCTACCTGGCACCGGTCTACCTGGCGGGCTACCTGGGGCTCAGCGTCACCTGGCTGCTGCTTGGCGCCCTGCTCTGGATGTGGTGGCGCCGGAACCGCCGCGGGAAGCTGGGGCGCCTGGAGGCCGCCTTCGAATTCCTGGAGCACGAGCGCGAGTTCATCAGCCGCGAGCTACGGGGCCAGCATTTGCCAGCCTGGGTGAGCCGGGCCGGGGGAAGGGCTGTGGGCTTCCGAGGGCGAACTGGGGCGTACTCCCGGGTCTTCACGTAAGGGCCCGGCTTCAGAGAAGAGTCGGGGGCGGGACACACCTAGGATTAAAACTGGGCGTCCAGGACTCCGCAAAGTTGCTCGCGTAGGAAACAGGGCGCTTCTTCCACCCGCCTGTTGATTTAAGAGCCAGCGAAGGGCGTGACACGTATATGGACACATACAGCAGTGACAGGAGCACAGGACTCTGGTCGCCTTCAGCCAAGGGTTAGCAGGAATGCCCCGCAGGGCTAGCCGGGATACTGCGTGGACCACTGTCCTCTCTTTTCTTATGCCATGGGCATGAACAGGCCGTGTGCACACTCGCAGTCCAGGGATAAACCCGCTTCCTGGAGCGGCTGGCCTGGCTATGGTTTCTCAAATGCGTCTGGTCCTGAGAACCCCACCTGGTTCACTTAAAAACAAATTCTCTTCCCCCAGTTTAACTCCTTGGGTGGGGCACAAGAACGCTGGGCAGTCCTTAATATTGGATGTTTCACAAACATTGACCAAAGGAGTCTATTTCAGAGGGTTAGTGTGTGACAGACCTGCCCCCTTTGGAGCTGGAGGCTTCTACTTCCCTGAGTATCCTGTACCTCAGACTCCCAGGGGAGATATGCAGAGGCCCCCCAGACTCTTCATTTCCACTAGCTTGCTTGTTTTGCTTGTGGCCTGAACTCTAAAACGCAGCAGAATCTTGGAGCATCACATCTGGCTGTGATTGAGAAGCAAATGTTAACATGGCCTGTTAATCTCATTTGGAAATTATGTCTTGCCCGAGGGTAGTTTGTTAAGGCCATTGCAGCAAAGTGCCACAGATGTGGTGGCTCGGACAACAGAAACTTAGTGTTTTGTAGTCGTAGGTGATGAGTACATGTATTTGACTTGAGGGGGCCAAACGCTTGCAGATAAGGGTACACACTGTGGAACTTTAGTGGGTATATTCCTTGAGTAGAAACCATGGGAACAGGTCTGATCCAGCTGGCCGTGGAACACAGAGGAGGTGGTTGGTTTCTCTTAGGGATGCCAGATTCAGGTGGGAGATGGATGCATGACTGGTAATTGTTATGGAGGTCCTGGGGAAATCAGAAGCAGGAACTTGCTGAGATTCTAATCACGGGGTCAGAGGTTTACAGTGGACACCTTATTGATTTTCACATCAGGTTGTCCGTAACCACAGTCATCTCAAGAGGGTTTTACCTCAGCCTAGGTTTTCCAGACTCTTAGCTGCTGTGGTTGGCTGACTCTGTGGACCAGATCCTAGGTAAGCTTTGGGATTAAGGTGATGATGCTAGACCAGGCTCTGTTGACCTAGAGAGGCTTGTGAACACAGCCTAGAGGAATGGACTGGTCACTCTGAGGAGTAGTGTGTGCTTGGCCTGTCTAACATGGTCAGGGTTGATGGCCAGGGCTGAGAGGAAGCAAGCATTGAAGAAACCTGCAGATTCTGAAGGCTTGAAGCCCTTGTAAGGTGCTGGTGCAAGATTTTGAAAGACACCACAGAAAGGGGGAAGGAATGAGAGGATAGAGAACTCACCGGAGAAAGATATCTGAGCCTGGCAGTAGTGGGCACAGGAGGAGATGAGGAGCAGCTGGAGAGGGATTGTAACTGCCTATGGCCTCTAGAGTGAGGGCAGAGCCTAGGGGTCTTCTAGGGTACTTCCTGGTGTAGAGAGCTGGGTGACAGCATGCCTGGGCTTCCTGATAAACAAATCTAAAGAGGTTACTTTCCCATGACCACCTGGGAAGGATACACAGCTTGATGCAAATGTGGCCTTGTGACCAGCCTCGTGCGGGACGAGGTAGGAAAGCTGGGGCCCTTGTGGTTGAGTGTTCTGCGCACTTCCTCTGTTTCTACCTCAGAGGAGGAGCGCAGCATAGTACTGACAGACCCAAACAAACAGTGAGGGAGCCCTGGCTGCGGTGTGGAGGTTAGCATGCAAAGGAGAGAGCCCTTGCCATGATGGGCTTAACCCCTGAAACTCTGCTTCCATGTGCTGGCTGCAATGCGTTGAATATTTGAAAACTCTAAGTTCAGAGTGAGACATGCCTGTAAAAGTCTGAGCATTCTAGAACTAGAAGCAAGAGGATCAAGAGTTCAAGGCTAGCTTTAACTACACAACAAATTTGAGGCCATACTAGACACATGAGACCCTATCTCAACAAAACAAAACAACCAAACTAAAGCACTTGTTCAGAGCCAGTCACCAATGGGTGTTCAGTAAAAGTTGTTGCTTTTTGATCCTCAGTTTTCTAAGCCTCCTGAGGACCTTTTCCCAATATTAAACTAATGAACAAATATCCTAGTAGCACATGTATCTTTCTGGAGCTGGTTGACCACAGAGAGTAGAGCAGATGGGAGAGGTGTACAGAGAATCTTTGGGAAACCTCATTCTGCCTGGCTCTTGCTGGGCTTGTTCTGTGGTTTCTGGGATGCTGACTTCAGTACTGTAGTGAGTATTCACCTACTGGCCTTCAGAGCTGGGCCTTCTTGCTCTGACCTCAAGATGGTCCATGAGATCAGCATCTGTTGCTTCCCTGCCCCAGCCACCTCCTTAACATAGGTGTGGGCCTTTACTGGTCTGCCTGTTTCCAGGGCATCCACTGAGCCATTCGTTGATGATAATAATACCTTATTTATCAGGTGTTTACTTTGGCTCTGCCTTGGTAAAGAGTGAACACTGGTGGCTGCTTTCCTTGGCTCCTGGTTTGATGGCGTGTGTGTGAGGGATGAGAGCCGGTTGGTAGGCAAATATCCCGAGGCAGGGTAGAGGGTGGAAAGAACGGTGGGAAACATTGGCAGTCTATCTGCCTGTGGTTCTGAGTCTAGCCTAGCTGGTTACTGCCTGCTGATAGCAATCAACTGGCAACCTTGTTGGGGACAGTTAACCCTTGGGAAACTTCGGGAGGGTGGTGCTGATGGGAAGAGGGAGAAGGTGTAGAGCCAGAGCCGAGCATCTCTGGGCATTCACCAGGGTTTGGAACCTCTGTGAAAGTAATGAACTTGGGGAAGATCATCTGGAGAATCCTTCTAGCCACGAACCAACCCCAGGTCAGCTTTTCTTTGCTTGCACACCCCACCCCCTGCCCAAAACCTATTCCCTAACCCTTCTTACCCTTCACATGGCTGGAATGCCAACATAAGAGCCAGGGAGGTGATCCACCCGCTTAAAATTATAGCTATGTATAGACAGCAGCAGCATCCCTGGTAGCTATTCTGACAGACACTGAGGTCCTGAGTGCTGCCTTTTCTGGATCTGACCATCAGCCATTCTTATTGGGAGAGGACACAGCAGCCCTTCTATAAGCCACCACTCCTGTTCTGTTCTCACTGATGGTTCTGTTAATTAGAGCAAGTTAATGCAGTGAGCCTGGGCACTCTGAAATGAGTTCACAAAGCTTGATGCTGGAGTCAGTGCCAGTTGATGGCCACGTGGGACCAGGGAGAACTTCATATCTTGAGGTGCTCACAGCTCCAAGAGTCATACAAGTCAGTTTAGAGCTGGGTCTAACCTCAGGAAAGAAGAGGAGGCAAGGCTAAGTCATGTCCTCTGTGTTTCGGTCCCATGTCTTGGTGATGTTTCATAGACTTGTAGTGTCCTAGGTCAGGATTGGGCAATAACTATGACTGAGTGTAGGTGTCCTTTTCCTCCAAGCCCAGCAAAGGGATTTTAGGCATCCGGGTGTTCATCCTTTGCTCAGTCACCAAACATTTATAGAAGGCTTGCAGTGTGTGAGGCACAGTTCTACAGGATGAGCCAGAGACATGAGTGTCTCATGGTCTCTGCCTCCAAGGAACCATGGAGCAGAGTGGGCATGAAGGCCCATGAGAACAGTCTTTCCAAGACATGTCAAAGGACCAAGATGTTGCACAGTTTCTGGGTGGGATCTAAAGCAGGCAGCAGCCCAGGAAACCTTCCTAGGAGCAGAGGTTCTATAGCATGAAGTTGAGGACTCTGGTAAGGATGGGAGACTTGACCCAAAACTTTCCACAGGTTTGGAAATGATTCAGATTCTAGAATAATATCTCACAAAATTCAAATTCACCCAAGATTGCCTGTGGCTTCATTTAGAGGTTCTGATTCATGCTTAGACAGGAGTGTCTGAGGCAGCCTCTCCTGCAAGCAAAGACCTGAGTGACCAGGAGGTCACATGGTAGATGCAGATTAGTGCTGTGGGTGGGAACAACCCCTGCCATCTTGTGTTGCAGGCCCCTCCCCACTGGACAGAAAGGAATGGAAACCAATTGCTAGCTTCCTCTTGTTGAGCACTTCAGAAGCGAGCAGAAGGTGGCACTTCTGTGGGGATGTCCCTGGTGATTTAGGGAGGTATGAGCTTCCTTGTGAAGAATTGTGAGGGTCAAAACGTGAGAGTCACAATCTAAATGTATTATTGGTTGGCGAACAGAGACTGGGGACCCTAGCCTGCCTTTCTGTGATAGTTTTAATACTTCGACAAATACTTTAGTGAAACAGTTTCTAGAGGAAGGATTGGTAGATTTGGCTCACTAACTCAGTGATTTCTGACCAAAGTTGGCCAGATCCACAAAATTCAGGCTAAAGGTTAGGGAGTCCATTTTGTGAGCGTGAGCATGACATAGACTATGCACGTGGAGAGGAACGGGTGGGACAATACACACCTTTCAACGCATGCCTCCAGTGATCTGCTCCCTCTAGCCTGGTCCCATTTCCTCATGTTCCGTCATCTCCCAGCCATGTTGTTGAGCTATGACTCTACCAGAGACTAATCGGTTCATGAAGCCAGAGCCCTGATGATCCAGTCACTTCCTCAAAGCCTCGCCTCTGAACACAGCCACACTGGAGACTAAGCCTTTGCAGGGACCCTCCATGTCTGAACCCTCTCTGGCATCTTCCTTCTTCCAGCTGAGCCCCAGGGGTTCCTAATCTCTGGGAACATAGAGTTTCAACACAGAGCTGCTCACAGGTACTAGA